TTTTCAGTTTGAAATACATAAATGTTGTCATGGTGACAATTCTCAAGAACGTGACAAACATCTTAACAACAATTGGAGAATTATATTTATTTTGGAAACGTCAAAATCCCAAAGTTTGGACAACAATGTTTATGATGGTAAATGGCACTCTTAGATAATACTTGTTCATGTGTGGTTATTTTCAGACAAATTGAGTTTAGTTACAAGTCAAGACCATGTGTTCAATAACTTAGTGACTCCATTGGATGACTAAATATCATCTTGTATTCTTGTTATATGAAAACTTCATGCACTTCTAGCACTAAGTTCAAATAATTGTAAGTTTTAATTTAATCAAGGTGAAACATGCTGGATACTTCATGATGCAAGTGCAACAATCCTTGGTAATGAATGTGTTTGAAACATCTCTTTGTTCTGACATTTGTATGTCTGACTAATTCGATAACGTTTGTTGCTTCATCATGTCAGAAATCATGAAAAAGAAAATGTTGATAGTCTCATTAATTGGACAATGTAGTATGATTAATCTTGAACAATCCATGTTGTTCACTAAATTCCATGTTGTTCACTAAATTGCTAATAAGTCATATTAGCTATTGCTCATTTTAGTTTCTGAAGTATTTTTTTCTTCTCAATACAAAATTCATACAGATTATTTCTGGTGTTAGTGTCGGTATTATAGATCTCTCCTTTGATACATGTTTTTTGCTGTCAATACAAAATTCATACAAATATTTTGCTTCTCTTATGTTTGAGATTATTTATTCACTTGAGATTATTTATTTTCTAATTGAATAGTTATATTTTGGCTTAATAGCCTATTTTGTCCCCAGTTTTGCTGAATAATGTCAATTAAGTACCTCGTTTTAAAAGTGTTTGAAATTGGTTCTCACTTATTAAATTTTGCGTCAACATTGTCCCTTCCGTTAAATATCACAAACGGTGTTAACCTTTTCTTTCTCTCTCTTCTGTTTTTCTGTGTAATGCAGCCTTTTGTCAGTGTTTGTACCATTAATTACGTGAGTCCCTCACTTAAAAGTGAGCCTTCAAAGATGGTTTAAATCGGAATGGGACCCACATAGAAAATTTCTCTTAAAAAAAATCATGTGAATATTTGATTATTGGTTGTACCTCTAAATATTTAATAAAACCTTTAAAGGAAAAATTAAGACTCTGCACACTTTTATTAAACCCCATTATTCCTTACTTACACCGTGGGTCCCATATTCAATCAATGTTTCTATGCAAATTTTCACTCTTCCCTCACCGGTATATGTTGCATTCAGGAAGTGCTTCACCATGAATAATCTTTATTTCTTTCTCTTCCAAAATCTAGCAGCTAAGCGTGTCTTTGCCTTCCAAGCCTAACTAAGAGGATGGGTTGTCTCCTGCATGCAAACTCAAAACTAGTGGTTGTTCAATGAAACCCAATACCCCTCTATGACCATTCTCCTCTGCACCCTCTTTTAAATTCACGTTCCACCCTACCCTCTTTATTATCTGTTTTTTCTTTTTATTTAAACCACACCTATTTCACTTTCTCCTTTCTTATAAAACTAGCCAACCCCAACCTTATTTATTTTACAAAACCCCACTATGTTCAATGAGACCTAATATGTCTGAAAGGTTGTTTTTATATAGTAAAACTAAGATATTGATAACTGTGTAAGATAAAATAGTATATTGAAAGTGTAAGATAAAATAGAAAAAAATAATATAATTATAATAAATAATATTTTATTATTATTAATAAATAATAATAAAATAATATAATTATAATAAGTTTATTGAAAGGTTGTTTTCATAAAATAGTATAATTATAACTGTGGAAGGTTGTTTTCATATTTTATTATTATTAATAAATATTATAATTATAATAAGTTTATTGAAAGTGTAAGATAAAATTGAAAAAAATTAAGGCATAAGAAAGTTCATTAAACTAATATAATTCTATTATGAATGATCTGCACCCTATTATGTTGTTGCTGTCATACTGCAACACGGGAGTATGTTGTGCCAAGATCGATTTCTATTACCAATCCCTTTTTGGTTTCGGCCATTCTTCTTTATATGAATGTAGACTGTGAGATAGAAGAAGTAGAGAAGTATGGCTGAATATGAAGGGTTGAATTTTATACTTAGTAACAATAAGAAAATGACCCTAAACACCTCTGAGTTGTTTCGATCAAAAGGGTCTCTTCGTGCATCGCAAGCAAGGAAATTGGAAACAAACAGACTCGCACCCATTGACAGTGTGACAGTAATCATGATGGGTACTTGGTATCTTGCTCGAGTTTTCTTTTTTCTGGGAACTTATATGCATGAATGCATGAGGGTTGGGTTGGAATATGGAGTGTTAGGGTTGAAACTTTAGTGAGTAATATGCAGGGAGTATGTAGATGTTGGGGTGTCCTTCCTATGCGATCACGTGGATAGTGGAGAGGTTTGGTGTTCAAGTGGAAAGAAAGAAGGCTTGGTAAGTTACTATGGGAATGGTTAGGAGGAGTAGTGACTTTTGTTGGTGTGGCATGATGAATCCTTGCATGCACAGAGATGTAAGTTCTCCTCGGTTTGGCTTGGGATGTGCATATGTAAGTGCGAGAGGAGAAGGTGAAAGAAAGGGTTGGTGGCAATGAAAAAGTGAGGTTTGCATGGAAGAAGTCATCTCGGGGTTTTAGCTGGAGCAGAGAGAATGAGTAAGAGTGAGAATGAGAAGAGAGTGGTTGAGTATGTTGGAGAAAGAAAGAGTTTGAAGTACTGAAATGATTACATTAGTGGAATGGAGGGTGGTGTGAGATGTGGTTGGGTTTTAAATTGGAATTGGGTGCAAAATTGTTACTGCATGGGAGTGTTCTTTTGTTACGTAATTATTAGATAGGGGGAGAAAGAATTTAAGAAGAATAAAAGGAAAATAAAGGGAAGAAAATAAAAGAAGAGTAGAATGATTGGTAAATAAGAAAAGAAGAATGAAGGTTGTATGAAAGGTTTATACAGGGTTGTTATGAAAAAGTGGTTCTTATTTGGGTGAAATTAAAAGTGTGGGTCCCACTTTGTATATAAGAAGAAGAAGAAAAATGTTTGGTTAGGTAGTACTTTAGTAGGAACAATGACTGGATCATGATGTGATATTAAAAAGCTGACAATCAATTTGACGCACTAACAAAAAAAAGAGAAAAGTTTGCTATTACACAGGAGCAGAAGAGAGAAAAAAAAAGTTAACGCTGTTTGTGCATATTTAACGGAATGGACGATATTGACGCAAAATTTACCAAGTAAGATTCAAGTTCAAGCACTTTTAAAAATAGGGACGGAATTGACATTATTCAGCAAAACTAGGGACAAAATAGGCTATTAAACCTTATATTTTTTATTAATTTGGTGAAATTTTTAAGTAAAGAAAAACGTGTATTGTACGAGTACATGGCGAATGGCGACTTTGGAAGGTGGCTACACGAGCTTCCCACAGGGGACACCAATGTAGATGATTGGGATAACACGTAGTCTCGCGTACCTACACAGATCTTCGATTTTGGGTTACAACACGACCAAAACCTGAACGAAGGCATGAAGGCAGACGTGTACTGCTTCAGGGTGGCGTTGATGAAGCTCTTAACAGGGAAGGAAAGCATGGCGAAAAGGTGCAGCGGCGAGAAAGCGGTGAGGGAGGGGTAGGGTGTTAAGGTTATGGACGAGAGACTCTTATTCAATGTTGTTGGGCTGAAATTTCCAGAATTTTCCTATTTTTTTATTTTCTTTTACTTTACTAAATTCCACATCATAATTTAATTATTTCCATGTAATAAAATAATCTAGCTCAACATATTTACTCCAAACCACGTTATCAAATTTTATCGTTGTTTTTGACTAAATAACGAAAAAGACTTACGATTTTTCAATTAAGACCATTTTCAACAACAGGTTTAAAACCAAAATTATATAATCATGATTTTTTTGCATTTAACTTAAGTTTTGATTGTATTAGAAATCATATATTAATTAGTCCAAAAATTTCAATCATGAAAAGTTTAACAATCTGACTTCTTCATTTTCCAACTAATAAAGGTAAAGTATTCTTTATTTTATTTATTAAAATATTCTCATTTCTAACCCACCGATTTAATAGACTAGACAAAACAACCCAAAGCAAACTAATAAATTGAAAACTTTCGCCCAATCGGCGAGCACAAACTAATTTTACAATTTCTAATTATTTCAAAAACAATAAAAACTTATTTAATAAATGTTGAATATAATAAAAACAATAATATAAAATTAAACTCCCTTATATATACATAAATATTTTTATTTATAATAAAAAAATAGTTACTAAATATAAAATACAAATAAAAAATAATAACAAATTTATTAAAAATAAAAGATAAATATAAAATAAAAATAATATATCTAACAATTAAAAAAAATTTCCACTCCAATTTTTAAAGTAAATATTCTTCGGATTTTCTATTCTCATTTTATATTTCTATGTTCTAATGCGTTTCCTCCGTCTTCTTTCACTCCTAATTAAAGATCAAGATAATTGAATAAAAAAAATATTGAAAGGACATGTAGTTTGAAGTTGAGAAGGCATATGTAGTTTGAAGTTGATAAGACAAAGGCTACCCAAGTGTCAATGCGAGAAAACATCCTTTGTTCCGACTATTATTTTACTAGTATTTCTAATTCTATACTAATACAATTATTTTTGTAAAACCAAAGTCACTGTAGTCTTTTACTTTTGCACAAAAACACAGTAGATATACTGTAGTTACATACAGACTATATGTGAGATAAAATATACCAAAAAGTAACTAACAGAGCTAACATTTTCATAGATAAATTAATTTGGCTTTTACCAAAATATTTTCCTACGAATTCCACAAGCATTAAATATATTCTTGAGGGAATCTGGACCTCATCAGAGACGCACAAAGCTGCTGCAGAGGAATTCTTCATTCCTTCCAAGTTGAGCATAAGAGAAATTCCCAGGCCATCTTCAAATTGCAAGGGAAACAAATCAATGTTATTATAGCACACAACAAAGAACCAATCAGAGTTCCAAAAAACTGGGCTTTGGTGTTCAAAATAATATATCTTGAAAATTTATTATTGTATAACATCTCTTTCAAGGTGTGTCTATTTCGACCACAAGGTGGCAAGAAGCTTCCCCTTCCGGCATTCTGTTACACAATCAAGTACAATCTCTTGCAACTGTTTCTCCACATCTTCCATGGGTTGGCAACCATCAACAACCTGCTTCAAACCGGTGGAATTTGAAGGCAAAAATACAAAAAAAAAATGAAAATGCTTAAGAATGTGTGGTTAATCATGGCATGGTACTAATAGGAACACATATAAGGCATTGCAAACTGTTGATTTCAGGAGGAAAGGCCACATAAGCAGTTAATTACCTTCCAGGATACATCATGAAGAACTGAGTAACAATCAGCAACTTTCTTCTGAAACTCCAGCTTTTCATATCTCTCACCTCCATACCCTCCTCTTTCCGCAGCTTTCTGATTTAATTTGTGTGGAAATATAAATGTAAAATTGTATATAGGCCAAAAATGGTTATATGCATTAACCAAGCTACAACATGCTAGCTAAATAACTGTGAAAAAACGGAAATCTAGATGCATGAATTTTAGGAACAAGATACAGAATTTCTACATATTTGAATTTGAACCACTCTCTGTATGAAAGTAACACATCAAACTTCCGTAAATCAAACCCCAATTCCTCTTTACTTTAAAATCTTAGATCTTAACAGCATGGAACATAGAAAAGGAAGCAGAGAGACTTCATAGAAAATAAGCATCAGTTCCTGGTGTACAAACTGTTTTACCTTCAAGAAGAAATAAACTAATCTAGACAAAAAAATAGTTTATAAAACAAATAAAACAGCTTAATGACCATCTTAAAACAAACTAATAAAGCACTTTTCACACAGCAAGAAGTTCTGCATACCTCAGGAGATATGTCAAGGTATACTACCATATCTGGTGCCAGCAAACCAATCTCTGGGGCCTGACAAAAAATCACTGTTTAACCAATACTGGTGAGAATATAAGTAATTATGTAAACTCTAAACTGTACTAGAATGGAAATCCTCATGTTGCACACATACTTTTGTTTTGTGGTGGCCAATAGAAAAATAAAGAACTATGTTAAATCTTTTACCTTGCACCACTCAATATCAAGTCCCTTGGCAGATGAGAAAGCCACCCCAGAATAAGAATATCGGTCAACAATGAGAGTTTTTCCAGTTTTCAGTTTTGTTTCCATCAATGACCTGCAGGGACAAAACAACTTGTTTGATGATATTGAAATGTAAGCTTAGTATTTTACTTGTCATAAAAAGTACTTGCAAAAATAACAGCAATGAAGACCCCACGCAATACCAGCTATTAAGCAGAGTGTTTCAGGATCTACACATAACAGTAAGTCATGACATTTCAAAGTGATCAAAGTCATAACTACCACAAGGTGGATCTTGACTGAATATGTTGGAGTGGCCAAAATAATTAAAAGATATGCCTAAAATTATTCAGTCTTAATCATAAAAATAATATAGCTACTCATTTAACAGAAGACAGAAATAGAAAAAAAAAGTGTAGAAACCTCTTTTCCCAACGATTAGCACTGAAGAGGAGATGAATAGTGTGATCATCCAACTGAGATGTGTTACTAAGATAAGCAGATATCATTTGCCCAACATTTGTAGTTCTGTCGGGAAATCTCCATAGTTCAGCAGAGATCCCTTGTCCCTCCAAGAAGGACACTAGTCTGCTACACTGAGAAGATTTCCCAGAACGATCCAGACCTTCTAGGACAACCAAGGCACCCCTAGACTCCATTTTGTTTCCCTCTGTGCTCCTATTAAGATTATTTTCCATTCTTATGTTGCTTGGAAAGCACTTGGAGGAGAATTTTACACGAGAATTCAATGACTTATGCAACACTAGTGTTCTGAAAATCCTGCAAAAAGAAGAAGCGTCCTTATAGATGCAGACATAAAAGGAAAAATATCACAAAAAACTCCTTCCTTCTAACCTTCGTTGCTTAATTCAGAAATCCCAACTAAAACTATAAACATTAAGATTAAAACTGCAAACTTCTGCATTTTTCTTCAAGAAAAAGAAAACATTTTGACACATTGGACCAAACAATCCTCAGGGCAAAATAAAACTCAAAACTAGTATACAAAAGTTGCAATTATAGACCGGACAAGTAATTATAGACCAAAAATAGTATATCATGCAACATTCTTCCCGGATTACAGCTTTATATCAGAAAAAAAAGCTGGTTTTTTCAGTGCTATAACAAATATCTTTAAAGTAAAAACCAAAAGAACAAACAAATTCTTACTGTGACTTGGAAGCTGTGACACAAGCTCCATAGATCATATCCTCAGAAAGTCCTTAAACTGAACCAAAAGAAAACGAAAAAGTAATGAAAACATTATTAGCCGAATTACCTACGCCCAATGTAAGAATTGACACAAGCTTATTCATGGGAAGTCAGGGTTTATGCTACTTTAGCTATAGCTTCTTCCTCCAGTGACAACATTAACAAAGTATGTCAAAGCCTGCCATTGGCGTCCCAAAAAATAGGGCAGGGAAAAATGAATCAATCCGTCCCATTTTTAGTGGGTTGACATAATAATTTAATTAAAGAAAACCAGAAAAACTTAATTAAATAAAAAAAAACAATACAATAAATGATAAATTAAACAGAAAAAAGATAGATTAGAAAAGTGTGAATAACATATAAGCTAAAGCCTGAAACTGGTATGATACAATAGGGATATATAACACTAAACCCTAAATCTAATCCACAACAAAGACATTTGTCCAAACAGAACATATGATGAAGAATAGCACAGATTGGAACCTGTAACGACCAGAACCACTGACATTAACACATTAACATGAAATGCAGAAAGAAAGCAATTTGGGCATCAGAATCCTGCAACAGTGATGGTCGGCGATAACTTCTTGTGACACTGGGCACACTGTGTCAGGCACTAGGGTTTTGTTTACTCTGCCACAACTGTTACGTAATAAGGAAGTTTTTTAAACTAATCCTTTAGGTTTGGTATTAAAGAGTTTTTATGTCATGGCTAATCCTTGTATATTTCTCACTGAGTAACACTTCAGAAATTCGGTTTACTTGGAAGTTGAAATGAAAATATAATAATTAAAACTGTAAAAATAAAAAAGAAAAGCTACACATATAAAATATTTGGAGGGAAGAAGAGAGTAAAGAAGTAAGATTTTTTTTTTATCGTTTTCGTAAATATAAATATATGGTTATTAATTAAGTGTGCAAATAAATAAGGTCAGGCTAAATTATTGGTTGATGTCTTGTGCAAATGGACTTAAAACTTCAATAGAGTTATTTATTTGATATGGAAAATGAATACAATATAAAATTATGTTAATTTGGTATTTAAAAAAAATTGATATGTTAACTTTTTATAGTATGTACAGTAAAATGATAAAAATATAAGAGTATAAAAATTAAAATTTTAAATTTTTCACTCTTTATAATTATAATTAGTCGGACTTACTTGTACACTCTCGTATACATCTGATTTTGTAAAATTATTACTAAGTATTTGAAAAAAAATTACTTTACTTCTTTCTAATTTTATATATTTGAACCTATGCTGTGTAGTTGAAAATGCACAAATACAATAAAGTTATATATTTAATTTTTATTATTATTTTTATCTAACTAAAATAAGTTCTTTTCTTTTTCAACATTTCATTTCTTCTCATCCCATAAAAGTATTCTTTACTTTTCCTCTTTCTCTTTCGTTACATTAAATTACTTATTTGTTCCTTTTACTCTTCACATTTTCTAGTGATGGTTTTTTCCCTTCTATTTTGAATTTTCCCACATGTTTGCAGCATTCATGAGCATGAGGTTGCAAGAGCAACCAAAACAAAGGACGCAAAAGATGATTTAGGTAATGGTTATAAATGTGTCTCTAGTAATGTGCTTTTTTACACTTTTTCTCTCTCTTAAATTTGATATATAAATATTATAATTACATATATTAAATATTTTTATGGATTTATAGATTTTTATGGATATTTTAAATTTAGAATAACTAATTTCTTTTAAACGGTAAATAGACAACGGATAGATTTTTTTAGGAGGAAATTATCAAATGAGCAATAACTTTTATCAAAATCTTATGAATCAAGTTTCTAACAAATTGAAATTAATTTGAAATACTTGTCATTTGCTCCATGAAGGCAAATTAAAATTTGAACATATATCCTAATGATCAAAATAATGTATGAAGAACATACTTACAAAAGAAGACCATGTCAACCTACTTAATATAATTTTTATCAAAGAAAACTTGGAAACTCCTTAAAAAGATTCGGTCATTCTTAGTTTAATGAATTTGGCAATTGGTTGGAGTTTAACATATGCAACAGAATGGTTAGCATGGGATAACAAACCAAGAGGAAGAGGTGAATTAGCATAAATGTAACATCCCAGATTATATAGAAGCATATAATATAGTAAGTCCACATTTTAATAAAAGAGAACAGTTAGAGTAGACTATAAATAAAGTAGTTAAGCTTACAGTCATCCCAAAATGAGTCATAATTTAAAACTTAGACATACTAGAGTATTTCAAAATAATAAGGACAACTGAGAGTCCTTACTAAACTAAGCAACAACGTTATCTTCCTCCAAAGCCTACTCCAGAGGCAGCGTTATCTTCCTAACTAAACTCTTTAATAAAAATAGGTACCTTTTAAAATTTCTACTCAATTAAGCTTATTAAGCAAATAATAATAATAATAAATAGAGAAAGTAAGGTTGAGAGAAATTTGCACAGATGATTTTATCCTGGTTCGGATCTTATCAATCCTACGTCCAGTCGTCTATCTCAAAACAAGATAAACAGTTTATTAATCACAAAACTAATACAAATTACAATCACACAGATACGATTTGTAATAGTTTAGAAAACACATATCTTGAAGCCATAAGAGATGAGACACACTTCCTTTAAACACACTAAGGGACGAACACCTCCTCCGAATACTTCACGAACGATGAATACCTCCTTTGAATCTTCACAAAGGATGAACACTTCCTCCGAATACTTCACGAAGGATGACTTCCTCTTCCAAACACCTCCTTAGATGCACAAAGGATGAACCGACTATTCCTTTGTCACCGTAGTAGCACTTCACTAGCTCCACAAACACAAGTTTCTCAAGCCGAACAAGAACACACAATTCTCAAAGGTTTTTGAGTTTTAGAGCACAAGGGAAGAGTTGTTGTTGAAGGGAAATGAGAGTCTATTTATAGACTCAAGCAAAGACTCTTCCATTTTTCATTTTCTAACTCTCTTACGCTTTTAATTGATTAGATTGAGTGTAACAACTAGTTCAACGGCTAGAAAACTCCAACGGTCAAATTTAATCGATTGATCTACTTGTTAATTGATTAACTAATCGATTAAATGGTAGTTTAATCTATTATTCCATAGACAATTTGAGTATTCAGTTTTTACTATGATTAATGGATTAATTCTAGGTCTAATTGATTAATTCAATGTGTTTTTGACTTTAAACATAAATTTTATAATTCTAAGATACATGGAATCAAAACCACTAAGAACATAAGTCCTAGACACAAAATTACAAATATTACAAAAGCTTTTCATCTCAATACAAGTCTTCAAAAGATCTTCTTGAATCTTAATTTCTCTTGACTTGATTTAGACATCATCAAAACTTCATCTTCATCATTTTGCTAACAAAACGATGCTACATTTTACTTGTGTTCTTATCTTTTTAAGCCTCATTTTAGAAAGTAATCATGAGGTGATACATTTGTTACTCAGGGATTCATAAATTGGAATAAGAAGGAAAGACCATTAACTTGTGTCCGAGGTCCTAATAGTACTCATAACACTTCTTGGAGGAATGGTCAAGATTTAATGAATCAAAATCAATATATTGAAGTTGCAATATCTAAGCAATTTGAACAAGTTCATGACTTATATCAAAAGAGTTTGACAACGTCAATTGATTGCATTTATTTTCTATTAAAGTAAGCTTTTCATGGTCATGATGAATCAACCAATTTAACTCCTTAAACTTCTTAAATTTCTTGATGAACACAATGAATCAATAAATCATCTTGTCTTGGAAAATGCTTTTTGAACATATCAATTAATTGCTCAAAAAATCAAAAGGATATTGTTAATGTTGCTACATTGAAAACCACTAATGCTATTACTACTAATCTTGGAAATGAATTATTTGCTATCATTATTAATGAAGCACGTGACATATCAAACAAGGAGTAAATGGATGTTGCTTTGCGCTATGTTAACAAAAAAAGGAAAGTATTGTTAAGTGTTTTTTTTTTACGGTTGATGTTAAAGATACTACAACTTTATCATGGAAAATAACAATTGATGAATTATTTTGTAAACATAGGCTTAGTATATCAAGAATTCATGGAGAAGGTTATGATTGTGCTAGCAACATGCAAGGGGAATTTTGTGGTCTCAAAGTTTAATCTTAAAGGACAACTCATTTGCTTTTTAAGTACATTGTTTTGATCATCAATTACAACTCACATTAGTTGCTATAGCAAACAATCACATTCAAGTTATCTCTATTTTTAATTTGGTGTCCAATTTATTAAATGTTGTTGGGAGATCTTGCAAATGACATAACATGCTTCGTGAAAAGCAAATAATGTTAGAGAGGCATTAGGAAAAGAAGAAATTCCTACAGGATAAGGTTTAAAAAAAAATTAGCCTTAAATGAGTTGTTGATACTCATTGGGATTCACATTATGCAACTTTGATTGATCTATTATGTTCTTGAAATTATAAAAGAAGGTGGATAATATGTGTATCAAAGAGCTTAAACAAATGTCTCTTTTTCCTAGAGGAATTTGATTTTTCCTTCACATTGCATTTAATGAAAAAATGTATCATCAATGTTATAAACTTGGTTAATATCACAAAGTTACCATTGCAAACTATGGGATGATAAATGGAAGTCTTTATTGCAAGAAGTAATTTCATTTTACAAAAAACATTCCTAAGCATTCCATTAACTTTCCTAGTATGGAAGACAATTTTTTTCTAAAGGGAGATCACAACTGAGCATTATTATCGTGTTGATTTATTTTATATTGTTTCACGAATTTAATGATTGTTTTACATAAACAAATACTTAGTTGCTTCTTTGCATGGATTGTTTAGTTTAGGGGTAGGCAAATCAAACTAAACTGCATTGCACTACTAAAAATTGTATTGAACTAAAAATTAGTTCAGAAAAACTGAACTGCACTAAAAAATAGTTCAGAAAAACTGAACTGAACTATTTTTTGTTTTATCAAACTGTACTGAACTGAACTACTAACTATATTAATTTTGAACTGAATTATACTAATTTTAACCAAGAACTACACTAACTATACAACACTAACTAGTAAAATTGCATTAATAAAATTGCACTAACTCTAAAATCTGATTTTAATACTATCTAATAACAAATTAATTTAGAAAGCTTAAAAACAATACAAACAATTCCTAAAATGTATAGCAGTTTGACTAAAGGGTTATAAAGAGCATAATAAAATAGTACCTTCATGACAGCTAAATTAGTGTCAATACCGTCAACTTTAACACCATCAACTGTAGCAAATATAACCTTTTTATGATTGTTCTTAGATTCTTTAATCGCTATTTCCAATTCAGTTATTTCTCCAACAGATATTTCACCCACAACAATCCTGCTCTCATTTGAGTTGTTTGAACTTGTTCCAAATACAAATCCTAAGTTAGAAACCATGTCCAAGGCTGAGATAGAATGCATTCTACCACCATCCTTGAAATCATTCTCATGATCTGACTCTCTTCTGTTTGCCATATTTGCAAGGGTTTCTAATACCAAGTCTCCACCCGGAAGCTGATCACATAAATTAAACATGAGAAGAGCATCATAGTACAGGAATCAGGGAACTAATATCTTGAATAGCTTGTAAACGCAAAATTCCTAAAACAGCCTTCCAAAGCACTTCATCTTTGGAAACTCTTGGAAACTCTAGTATAACAG